CCTGACCAACCAAAAGCAGAAGCGGCAACGAGATGCCAGCTACCTCCTATCCTCCCAGACAGTAAAGACTTTTACAAGAAACAAACACCTTCTCAATTTCTTTTGCTTTGCAAAATAGTTAACTTTCGCAAAACTTAACTATTTTTGCGAAATGCTGGTTTTGAATGGGTTTATAATGGCTATTTTGAATAGGTTAACTTCTCACATGGGGAGGGTGACAAACCAGCCGCCCATCAACTAAGGCTCAGGGTCCTGCCCCGAACAGCTGGCAACCTGCTAAGAGTAAACGCAGGTGGACACTGCCTAGAGGGAACCTCGCTCCCTGGGATTTGGGGGGAGGTGAGGGGCAGCCCCTAGCAACACCAGGCCCCTCCTGGGGTGCAGCGTCTGCCCCGAGCTGGGCAGCCACGGAGGTCTCAGCGGGGCACTGGAACTGCCCCCCCACATATAGTGGGAAGGCAAGGCCTCTGAGGAAATACTCGGAGACAAAACGTTACAGACGACGGAGGGCAAGACATGTCTTCTTCCCAGGGATCTCCTCCAAGAGGGAAGCCACGTGGCCGGCAGCTCCTGCCTGGATGCTGTAGTGATACATCCCAGTAATCAGCCACGGCCGGTGCGAGCAGACCAGCCGAATACATGGTGCCCGGAGCCTCGGGCTGGACCACACCCAACATGCCTGCTAGTTCCCTGTGCACACCCACAAGGTACGTTCACACACACACATCCCATTGTTCTTCCTTTTTAATCACTGGCAACATGGGACAAGAAAACTAGAAACTCTTGAAAAATGAGAGTAGCAATGAACATTAACCACAAAGTCACTCAGTGAGTCACAATGCAAAGGTCTATTTCCAGGAAACCAGAGCGAAAGCATTTTATACAATCCTCTCGCTTTAATATGAAATGCTTTAAATGTAGGGTAATCGTGGAAACGAGGTGTTGCTGTAATTGGGGTGCCATTGATTCTGTAAGTCTATCTCCTGACATTCACAAGACGTGCGAACAGTAAAGAGTGAATTTTTGTATGTCCAAGCCAGCTGCTTGCCTTTCTTTTCAGGATGCAATTCAGACGCGGCTGGGGCTTTTTCAGAACCTAACAAGGACACCGTGGGAGCTGTCCCCGATGCCCTCCCAGCCCTGCCCGGTCCTGTCCCCTCCGCAGTGACAAAGGGTTCTGCAAACAAACTGCAGTTCAGCTGCACACACACTACGTGACGGACAGCATCCTCCTCAGAGACGGATTTCTAGAACACACTATAAATCGACTCCGATGGGTCATCAGCCCAAACTCTGCAGGTGAACTGACTACACGCCAGAGACAGTGGTATCTGCCACAGTACTGGCTCCCAGGGACCGGCTCCCAATTGGCTACACTCCCGGGAACCTCCCTAAAGTAAGTTTCGGACGGGACCACAACCTCACTTTGGGCGAACACAGGTGACACGCAGTAACTGCCGACTGGCAAGGACCCCAGCCTGACGCAGCTCCGGAGAGAGCGGCCGTCTCCTGTCTCGCCCCAGCAGGCCGGACTCGGGCTGGCGCTGGTCTGCGAGCGGCGCGATCCTGCAGAAGGTACTGCAGCTCCGGGCCAGCTGCAGCAGTCCCGTCTGAGCATGGCTTCCTTGGGGGGCTCTTCTGCTTAGGTTTGACCTCCTCTCTCTGTGTGTAGCACCGCTCTGCCCGGGTGTCTGGTGGGCCAGGCCCGAGCACCTGTTGCCAACTTGGTCTCCATGTGTCCTGGCTGCACATTAACCCGCACAGATTGAGACACGTCAACATAGCGCAGCCATCTTGCCTTGTCACGGCTCTTTCCAGCCCGCGTGAGAGCCCGCCCAGTCTACCTGGCACATCTAGTTTCAGCCCCTGGAAGCAGGCTGATCAGACACCCTCTCTGGTCCAAGTGCAAACCCGGCTCGGCCACCTGCCCACCTCTGGACAGACAGCCTAGCATGGTGGCATCGGGTCCCCAAGGGCCTGGGGGAGAGAGGCCAGGAACACAGTTCCTGTTTCCCAGGGTGCACTGGGCCTGCACTTGGTCTAAGGCGCTTTGCAATTTCAAAACAATTTCAATCTAATAACTGCTTATATAAAAGTTAGTAACTAATTCGATATTCTTTGAGTGACCAGTTGAAACAGTAATGAGAAACTATTCTGTATGTTTTCAGAGGGCCTAGAACAATTACTTATGGTGTAAAAGCTTTGGTGGTTACCATGAATCACTGTTCATCATGGCCCGCATGTAGGAGCCACGAGCCACGGCATCTGCCACTCACAGCGGGACCCTCAGAGGGCGGAGTGTGCGAGCACCATGGGGTCGGGGCTAGAGACTCCAGTGACACCGGAGGCAACGACCAAAACCCACTAAGAGAGACTTGGCCTCCACAGCCTCCCCACAGACACATGTGCCACCCACGGCCGAGGAGCGCTTCTGGCAAAAACACATCAAAGCTGAGCCTGATCAAATCTCTGGGTCCAATCACCAAGTGACAGGAATGACAGGGGGAGGACGTGCTCACCAGACACGATGGGAATCCAGTCTGAAAGCAGACTGGGGGAATCTTATGGGGCAGGCAGATTCACGCCCAGGTCACACGGAGGAATCTCAGTGTCTGCGCCCGCTCAGCCCCCACCCCCGCCCAGTTCCGATGCAAACGAGGACCCTCGAAAAGCTCATGAGGCAGTAAGGGAAATCCCAACGCTGACTGGGTGTTTGCTGATAGTCAGAAATTGTTATTAATTTCTTAGGCGTGATAATGACATTGTGGTTAGGCTTTAAAAAAAAGAATCTTTATCTTTTATTGAAGTATTTACAGGCAGAGCGATATAATACTTGTGATTTGCTTTCAAATAACTGGGGGCAAGGAAAGAGACGCATGGGGACAAAGATAAAGTCGGCTTAGCCTTAACGTGAGAGTTGTTTCAGCTGGGTGACAGTGTGTCCGGAGAGGGCGTGCAAATAAGAAAGCACATTTCTCATGCAACCACAGCGCACCAAATCCAAGCCTCGTCAACGGAATCCCACAACAGCAAGGGTTTTAAATCTGTGGTAAAGAGACTATTGACATCAAATACTAACAGCAAAACTGGGTACCAAAGCCTGAGGGGAACACGATAATTATTGCCACTCCCTGAAAGTGACAAATCGACAATGTCAGAGGGATGAAAATGTACCCATTCCACTGCCTTGCTCTGAGTCCATTGGAACCTTGCTTGGTTTCCCTGGGAGAGGCCAAGGGCCCTGACTCAACTCTAAAGGGCTTTTTTGACAGCCCCCTGCTCCGTGCGCGCTGCAGTTGAAGGTTTCTGACAGCGTAGAAAGCGCCAACTGCTCACAGGCTTGTCACTGTCTGTGAGTTTCCAGAAGCAAACAGCCCCTTCTAGCAGGGCACACGAGCATCCACCTAAGGTCCCTCCTCCTGCACACACGCCCTGGGCTTGCACACTTGACATCTCTGCCTACAGGGATGCCGCTCCGAGGCACAGCCGCAGGCAGGTGGGCACAGCAGGGCAAAGCGCCGCATGGGGGGGCACAAGGAGCAGTCCTGGCTGACAGCTCCTCCCCAGTGCTCTGGGATGCGCCTGGCTCAGACCTCGGGGTCTGAGGGAGTGAACCTGCAAAGCACGGTGAACACCAAGACCGAATCATAGGCCACAGCCTTGCTCTGGCCTATGCAGCCAATGATCAGAGGACGCCCCTGGCTAAGATTTCTTCCCCGTGAGTTAGAGAAAACGCTGGTGCCTTCGAGATTCGGTTAGGCCCGGGTCGGTGGGCACCTCTCCAACAGCCAGGCAGGCTCTCGGACCACAGGGCTGCCTCACACAGCAGAACTTGAGTCACATCAAGTGCATCAGCAGCAACAGGCTTCCAAGAGCCTCCGGGCAGGGAAGGGAGGGCACTGTTCGCCTGAGCTTGCTCACAACAGGAACGGCTGGTGCCGAGATGTATGTGATGGCGTGGAGGTTATGGAAACGACAGGACTGGATACTGACAACCACGAGGTAGAACAGCTTTAATTATTCACCAAGTCCTGATTTCCCAAACACATACCTTTCATGCTTGCAAAACGGAGTGAGTCATTGTTGATGTTGCACTTGAAGATTATTCAACACAATATTTACAACCACACAAGCCAAGACCCTAGGAAAGGAGCAAGCTCTGGCCCTAGGTTTCACCCCCCCAACCCCCCCCCCCCCCCCCGAATTCAGGGAGCTCATAAAAGAGTAATTAGACGGTTAGGACGACTCTGGAACACGGAGCGCGCTGGAGAAAGGAAAACATTGGTGAGGAGTTAAAGAGCAATTACTATGACAGAAAAAGAAAGTGCCTAAAGCGGAAATGAGTAGTTAAATGGGTTTTCTTCTGATGTCGGGAAAGCAGGGATCTCTGGGGGAGAACTGCGCGCGTGGGAACCGGAAGAGGGGAAAGTGAGGGAAGAGCGGAAGGGACACCGGGATGTGGCTGAAGCTCCCGGGCGTCAGCGGCCCTGCCACCCGGCTGCGCCCTGCGCGGCCTCCGCGCCTGCGGTTCTCCTTTCCTGCTCCGGGGCCCGCCGTGTACCCGGTACTGTGCCCATCCCGGGAACACCGGCTCCCGGCCTGTGTCTCCACGCACACGGAGGAAGGCACCCTCGGTCTCGTCCCTTCGGCCTCCCTCGGACGGAGCGTCCCCTCCCCGCCTAATCGCCGCGGGTCCTGAAGGGGCCCCTCGGCTCGGGCCTTCCGGGGGAACCCGCACCTCTCCCGGAGACACCACCTGACGTGGCCCGTCTCGCGCGCGTGCGTGGGTGACCTCTGGGTCCGGGTCCGGGTGGGGACGAGGGCGACCCTCAGCAGGGGGTCAGGAGTCCCCCTGGGCCCGGGCTGGGCGGGGTCAAAATCGACCCCAGTCCGCGCCGGGCAGGGGTGGGGCCGGGCTGGGCCCGCGGACCCCAGGCAGGGCGGGGTGGTGGGCGTTGCCGGCGGGGTCGGGGTCGGGGTCGGGGGCGGCGCGCACTCACTGTTTGGGCAGCTGCAGCGCGGGCGCCCCGCGCCGCTGGAAGGCGCCGTCCACGAAGACGCCGTTCTTGCCCAGGCAGCGCAGGAAGAAGTGGGGCTCCTGGAAGGTGAGCTGCAGGTGGCGCCGCGAGATGAAGCTCGACAGGCCCATGCTCAGGTCCACGGAGCCCTGCGACGAGTTGCGGCCGATGGTGACGCTGGGCTGCCGCATGAGGAACTCGAACTCACGGCCCTCCAGGCGCGCCAGCGCGGGCCCCGGGCTCCGCCGCACCGAGTCGGCCGCCGCGGCCACCGCGGCCTCGCCCGCCGGGCCCGAGTCCCCCGCGCCCCCCGCGATCGCGCCCGGCGGTGGCGGCGGCGGCGGGGGCTGGGCGGGCGGCGGCGGAGGCGGCGACGGGGTGGCCGCGGGCCCGGAGGCCGCCGGGGCGGCGGGGGCCCCGGCGGCGGGGAAGGCGGCGGCGGCGGCAGCGGCGCACAGCACCGGGCTGCAGGGCGCCGAGCGCAGCGCCAGCAGGGCGCGGGCCCCGCTGTCCTCGCCGACTTCAGCCATGTTCGCGCAGCTCCGAGCGGCCTCCGGAGGCGGCGGCGGCAGCAGCAGCGCGGCGACAGGGGGCGGGGTTCGGTGGGGCTTCGGCGCGCCCGGAATCCCGGGCTGGATCGCGCCGCACGGGCGCGGAGCCGACCGGCTGCGGCCCCGCCCCGCCCTCCTGCCCCCGGGCTTGCGGTGGGGGGGGGGGCGCGTCTGCACTGGCCGCCGGGCCTGCCCCAGGGCGAACCCCTCGCCCACTGCCCCGGGCTGTGGGCTGCCCTTTCTTCCGTTCTAGGGGGGCTGGAGAGGGAACCCCTGAAATGTCAAACTGGAAAGTGTTGGTCCTGGAACAAATGACCTCAGCAGTTTCCTAGGCCCCAACTACTCTGTTCTCCAGTCCCGAAGTATGAACGTAGTTAAGCACCCACGTTAAGGGGTTTCATACTGTAAATGAAACTTCACCAGGGGGGCGCCCGTGCGGCCCCCTGGGGCCTGTGTTTCTCTTTGGAATCATCCATTTACTCAACCAATAGCTCCATCTAATATCCTGGGACCGGAGCTAGACACCAGGGCAGGCGAGGCACATGCCCGCCCTTCAAAGCCCTCCCGGTCCGACCAGGGGAGGCAGGTGGGGGAGACATTTCAGGCGCAAACACGGCAGCGTGGGCACCGCTCAGATCCCGGATCCCGTGGGTAGTCTGTCTCGTGGCCATGCATTCCTGATTCGGCCAGGTCCCCCTGAAAAGCATGGCAGTGTTTCCACATTTGCATCGCTGAATAATGACTGAGGTGAGGAAACTGATCCTCCCTGGTGGAGTGAGGGCCCAGGGGGAGACGCAGACATGAATGAAGCGTGCTGACGAACGATGATAAAGTCACCACTGTCACAAGTCCTGGGAGGCACTGCTGCGCAGTGACATGTCAGTGTGTGGGGAGGTGTGACCCGGGTAGGGTGGGAAGCCTGTGGGCTTGCCCACTTTCCAGCCTGGATCGGAAACTCGATGGTCACAGTTGAATGTACAAATACCTTAGGGGTGTTTGCGAGGCGAGAAACACGTGAGATGCCATAACAAGAGAATGGGTCTCGCCGAGTTTCCTACGTCCGGTGCCCAGTCAGTGCTATCATTACCATGTGGGGCACCCCCTGCAGACAAAACCTGCCCATAGAGATACCTATGATATGCCCTGGGCAGGAGCCCCGTGTGGTCCCTACGATGCTGCTGGGCAGAACCGTGACCACTCGAAGGCTTCAGGATCAAGGCAGACCCACGTGGTCATGCCTGGGGGCAGGACAGAGTCCCTGGGTTTCCCGTGCAGTGACCACATGTGGCTACCGTGACCAGTCCAAGCCGTGATGGGCTGTATCAAATACACAGTCCACTGGATTTGAAAGACTTACTTAAAAAGAAGCAGAGCTCATTAATAGCTTTCATATAGGTTGCAGCCTGAAACGATAACATTGTGGATCTTTTGGGTTAAGTGAGATGTATTACCAAAATTAATTTCGCCGATTTCTTTTTCCTGCTTTAGTGCAGCTTCTAGAAGATGCAAAGTCACATCTGTGGCTCTGTCGGTCGGCGCCGGTAGAGACTGCCGGTGGAGCTTCTGTGTCCCAGCAGATGTTTCTGTGTTCGTGGTGACACTTTGTGTTTTGGGGGCTGCTGCCTGTCCACCTGGTGTCCCCATCATGGGCATCCCTTCCTCTTTCAGCCGTCACGTCGCCTCGTGGAGGTTTCCTGTCCCAGACTGTCTGCATGTGTGGCTGAATCAGCCTGAGGGGGTGCTCACAGGCCACCTGCCGGGCTGTGCAGTCTCTGCCACAGGGCGCTTTGGTTTTCAGCCGCGGAAGCCCACTCTGGCCAACTTAAACAAAGAGGGGGTGCAGCAGCACGATGCTAGGAAGCTCACAGAACCGGAGACGGCCAAGATCCAGGTTCCAGAGAGGGCGGAACTAGCAGAAAACCCTCCCGTTGCGGCTCAGGATGCCGCCCCCCCACCCCCCACCCCCGCCCTGGATTAATCAGCCCCAGCTTTCCGCTCCTTGCATCATTCTCCATGAGGCTGGAGTCCCCAGGAGAGAGCAGACATGGGCTTGGAGGAGGCTCTGCCCAGCCCCGGGCCCAAGGTGGGCAGACCAGGAGGCGGCTGCAGAGACCTGGCAGGGGCCCAACGCCGAGTCTGGCCGCCGTTGTCGGGGGGAGGGGCCGGAGCCGGCAGAAACAATAGCTGTCCACCGCCTCATTCCAACCAGGTTTTGTCAGACCAGCGGAGGACTCAGCCAATTCAGCTTTTTCAAAAAAACTGAAGTTCATTTAAAAAAAAAACAACTTTACATTATGGAAAGGTTGAAAACATACACAAAAGGATAAAAAAATAAACAAACCTCTGCGTTGCCATCACCCCGCCTGAACAATGGTCAGTTTGGGTCAATCTTGTTTCACCTGTGAGCCACCTGAGTCCCTCCAGTTTCCTCTGGAGCAAACCTCGGGCGTTACCTCATTTCCTTAAGTCACTGTGTGTCTCCAAAGATAAAGGCTCTTCTTCGAAAACACAACCACATCATTACCACCTGTGGGAGAATCCTAATAATGCCATAATACTCAGACTTCTGGCCCGTGCGTAGAGACTGACTTTGAACTTTTGCTGAGGCGTCATGTACATGTGATGAAATTCACATGGTGCTAGTGTGCAGTTTTAGTAGGGTTTGTACAGTTGCTCAGTGACCACCACGATCCAGCTTTAGAACAGTTTCTAGAGTCTTTCCATCGTCCCCAAAAGTTGCTGTCCGCTCGGTCGACCCTCGCTTGAGAAAACAGCCTGGTGATTTCTTAAAGAGCTCACTTACCCTTGTGCGTCATCCAGCAACTGCCTTCCTAGGACTTAACTCAAGAGACATGAACACACATCCCAGACACGAGTTCGTGAATGTTTATGGCCGATTCATTCATGAAGCCCAAACTGGAGACAACTCACAGGCCTATCAGTTAGTTGGGGCAGTTTTTAAAACTGTGTTACAGTCATACTCAAGCTCCGCCCACCATACCGAGGGAGAGGCTGCTGATTTGCAACAACGTCGACGGACCCCAAGCCTGTGCTTAGTGAGAGGAGCCAGACACATGGGGCCACATGTCGGCGTCTGGGTGAGAAAGTGGTGGAAAAGGGAAAACTACAGAGAAGAAAGCAGATCAGTGGTGGCCTGGGCCACTCCTTCTGGAAACTTCTCCTGCTCCCCTCCCAGAGGCCCTGGTACAACCCCTCTACTGACCACCCACACTTTTAGTCTTGCAGCCGAAGCGCCCCTAAAACCAGCACACACACGGCCCAGCCACTTCCAGAAATGACTGCAGAGAGATTAGAGTACAAACTGACCTCGCAGGAACTATCGTGCTGCGTACATTTTGAGGAGCGTATCTTCATGTTTTATGGTAATAGTACCTTGACTTTCAGCTCTTCCAAGTTTTTCCGAAGGGGGTTAGAGAGGGTTGTGTTCCTGGTGGGACAGCTGAGCAGGCGGACACTCGAGATGTTCAGCGTCTGGTCCAAGCTCATGGAAGCCACTGGTGAAAAATTAACGCAACCTGTTCCAGAAACAGTCCCCGGCCCAGTCCCCAGCTCTGCTTTGCCATTTGCTGCGTCATAATTGACCTGAGTTCACGTTCACTGCACACCAACCTCGCCACCTGTGCACGGGGCTTGGCGTGGGCCAGATCTCGCCCTCTGCTGGCTCGTGGGAGGCTGGCTCAGTCCGTGGCCACTCGAGGATGGACGAGGGTGGTCAGTGGTGTGGAGGTCAGGTGGCGGAGCCTGAAATTATAACCAAAACTTAAGTTAGAGGAGTAGATCCGAAGGGGAGTTCCGCGACAAACCTTAGTAGCTTCGAAGAGGGAACTGAGTCAGTTACCCGAGGAAGACTGGGGCGGGGGGCGGGGGGGGGAAGGAGACTGGACTTTGGTGAGAGATACAGGCACGGGCAGGGACCGCTTGTTTCTCATCCCACTTGGAGTGTGCGCTAGCACAGTCCCCATTTTGAAGTGGGAGAAAGGGAAAAGCAGGTGTGGTTGCCCACATGTATGGGGAACTCTGTTCTCAAGCAGGCGCTGGGCTTTGAGAAGGGGGCTGGAAGCCCGACTCTCGGCCACATGTAAAGGTGTGGTTTACTGTGCACAGCGGGGGCCGGGGTCATCGGGAGCAGTTGGCTGTGCCCCCAGCAGGAATGTGGGGTGGGGAGGCCTCGAAACACTTGTGATGTGTGCACAGCTCGCATGACCCATACCTACCAACAGTTGTATGAGCCCATTAAGGGAAGAACCAGCCCACCAAGAGATTTACAAACTAGGCCTAAAGGATTAAATCTAGAAGACACCACTTTGCCTCCCTCTTTTTATGTTTGTTATTTCTATAAAGGACAAGCAGCTGGCCGAAGCAATGCCATTAAGTGGGCGTACCAGCTTCCTCGGTTGGAAATCCTTCCCAGCAAGGGTTTTCCTATCAAGCCAACAGTAATAAGTGCAGGAGCCCAAAGATATTAGTAATAAACTGAGGATAGAGCTCTAGCCTCAGAAAGCACCGAATAAACACACAGGAGAAGAAAGATTGCAGGACCCAAGAAGATTCCCGAGCCCCTCTCAAAGCTCAGAGCTCAAACCCCGACCCCACTGGGACAGAGTCATGCTTGACATGATACAGAAGACATGGAGCTTCTGTGACTGTGGCCATGCTTCCCTGGTCACCGCTGTCACTTGGCACAGGGAGGTGACTGCCCAGCCCCTAGTCTGCAGAATGTAACTAGCCCCTGGAGACTGTGGATGGTAAAGCACGGGGATGGCTCTCCTGTCTAGGATGCCAGAAACAAGTCGTTGTTCACCTGGGGGGGGGGGGGACAGGCGGATGTCCTGCAAGAGGCGATCAGCAGGCCTGGCTCTGACTGCCACCCTGGTGACAGTCCTGTGATCTCAGGTGACATCGCAGGGCCATTGGCAGGTCCAGCCTGGAGTGAAAGGAGCAGAGTCACCGGTGGCCCCCTCTGTCCGCTCTGCCCCTCCCCCTTGGTCACAGCATCGGTTTTTC